CTCTCGAGTAGCTGGGACTACAAGTGCCCGCCACAACACCCGGCTAGTTATTTTTTGTTGTTGTTGCAGTTGTCATTGTTTTGTTTTTTTTTTTTAGCTGGCTGGGCTGGGTTCAAACCCACCACCCTTGGTGCATGTGGCCAGTGCCGTAACCACGGTGCTATGGGGTGGTGGAAATTTTTTGATTAAACAAAAACCTGTTTAATATAAAAAATAAATTACAGTAGAACCACTGTACATAGTTGACCACCTTGAGTTGACCTCATGTTCACAGACTGGACATGAACTGTATGTACATACCAGCACAGTAGACCTACGTCCTTATGTTGACCACCTACATATTTTGTTGCAGTCTCTTGGGTGGCCAACTTACAGAGGTTCAACTTTATTTCTGATTGCATTTTTTCCTAAGACATTAAAGCTAGTTATATTTCCTTATTTACCTAACACTACTAACTTTCAAGAGCTGGTGATTTGAATCCAGCCCCGGCCCGCCAAACAACAATGACAACTGCAACCAAAAAATAGCCAGGCGTTGTGGCAGGCACCTGTGGTCCCAGCTACTTGGGAGGCAGAGGCAAGAACTGTTTAAGCCCAGAAGTTGGAGGTTACTGTGAGCTGTGATGCCACGGCACTCTACCCAGGGCGACAGCTTGAGGCTCTGTCTCAAAAAAATAAATAAATAAATAAAAAGTTAATGAATAGAATATGAAAGGGCTTGACTTATTAGTGTACTAATGCCGTAAGAACTATTCCTGCTGCTGGGGAGATGTTGATCCAGGGATAGAAACTTTCAGGTAAGAGGAATAAGTTTCAGTGGTCAGTTGCATGACATGGTGATTATAGTTAATAACTATTTATTGTTTCTTGAAATTGCTAAGAGAGATTTTAACTGTTTTCATAAAAATGATAAGGTTGTGAAGTAATGCGTATATTAACTCGCTCAATTTAGTCATCCCACATGATGGACATGATAAAAATAATTTTTGTCCATTTAAAAATAGTAACTATACCTGGACCAATATTCTTCTTCTGAGTGTTTAAAAAAGAAAAGATGGCAGTCAGTCAGGATCAAAATTATTTAATGTACCTAAGTTACCTTTTCTTATTATTTTTTAATTGTGATGGAAATTATAGAAAACCTAACAGGTGAGGTGAGCTAAGGAGTCTGTAGGATAAATGAGATGCCCGGGAATTAGTTTACTGCCTTTGCAAACACCACAAATATCATTTTATAGATTCACTTACTCAATATACTTACTAAGGCTCCTTGCTCCTTCCTTTTTCATTATTTCACCTGTTTATTCAAAAATCCTCAACTGCCAACAGGAAGTCTTAACTCCCAAAGTCCTCAATAATTTGACATCTACCCCTTTTCTCATTTAAACTACCACCGCATATAGTCTCTCCTACAACTAAAAGAGTTTCCTTACTGTCTCCCCAAACATGTCTAACTTTTCTCAACTTAGAAGTTCATGCTGTTTCCTCCAGTTAGCATGTACTATCCAGTTCTGCCAGCCTAAATCTGCTCCATTATTCAAAATTCATCTCAAATGCCACACCTCCTCCAAGAAGCTTTCCCAGATCTCTCCAGTATGGTATGATTTGTTTTACCTCTAAGAAGCTATATAATAAAAGTTACTGACTGTACCATGTGAAGCGTATTTCTTTACTTCACTATCCTTGTTTATGTACAGTGCTTCTCTTTCCTACTATATGTTGTTAGCTCTTAGAGGGAAGGCATCCTGTTTTATACATCATCTTACTTTTTTTTTTTTTTTTT